AAGGGGAAGGGCAAGATTCTTGGCTGCTCTTTTGCCTGACACAGCTTAAAACTTGATTTTGCTAATTTTGACTCACCTTCCTAAATGTGATTGCTGTGGGACAGCCTCTGGGTTGGTTCTCCTGGGAAGAGAGGGTCAAAGTGGACTTGGTCCAAATTCCCAAAGTCCCCTGCCTCACCCAGCCAGCCATGAGGACCTGACCCTGTCCATGGGGCCCGTTGCTGCCACGTTGGAGTTGAGGGCTCCAGGCAGTGCCCAGTTGTCACCCTTGCAAGTCTCATGTGCTGCCCACATCGAACCTCTTGTCCCGCCCAGCCTGAAAGACTATTTCTGAGTAGGCAGACTCTGAGTGGTTGGAACGTTTCCCCCACCAGGTCCTTCCTTTTTCCCAGGACCTGGCATCTGATAAAAATCCTCTAACTTAACGTTAGTTTTGTTTGTTTTTCTCTTTCTATCTCGACGACTTTTCTCCTCCATTTCTCTAGGCTCATAACTACATTTTCCCCCAGTGGTTTCTTCCAAGGATCCACTGACCTTTAGTTTCCCCACCTCATTCTTTCCCAGCTGTTTATTAAGCGATGTGTATAAGTCTTTGCAAGCAACAAAGCCCTCTGTGCTGCCGTTATGTGACTTAATCCTCACCACAGTGGAATGCAAGTATTAATGGAACCCGGCTTTACTGATGAAGAAGCTGAGGCTAAGAGAGGTTAAATTGATTGTCTGTGGTTGTGCGGCCCGTAGCTAGCGCTGCTGGGTCTGAACCTGGGTCCTGTTAGTCTAGATCCCACACTGACTTCTGGGCCTCTCAGCCCCACCTCTCTCCTGGTCGGATCAGGGGAAACAGGTTGAGAAGCATCAACAGACGCCTCCTGCTGCCTCTGCCTAAGGCTAGACCCCCTGCCACCAAGCACTGGGTGTGCCTTGAGACAGAGCTGACATTTCTGCAGCGCTGCAGGTAGTGCACAGGACACATCCCATGCTTATTATCTCTCTAATCATCCCAAACGCTCCCTGTGAGACCAGAAGAGACTGAAGCGTGACCTCTCTACTAACACTGAGCACCTCATGGGAAACATGAGGTTTCCCTCTTGACTTTAGGCTTATTTGAGTCTAGGAGAACAATAATCATCACAGTAGTAGTAATAATAATAGTAATAATATTAGGCAAACATTTATTGCCTACCTAGTATGCTCCCAGAATTGTGTTTATTTGGCCAACACAACAACCCTAGGAGATAGGTACTGTTATTTTCTCCATTTTATGGATATGGAAATTGTAGTTCAGAAAGGTTAAGTACTTGCCCAAGGTCCCACAGCTGAGCCACAGAGGACTCAAACACAGGTTGGTGTTATTTCAAAGCTTGTGATTTTATCCACTGTGCTGAGCTCTGTTGGAAGAGTCTGAGTATCAAAGCCCTAAAGGCGGGGTTGGGCATACTGAGGGGTCCCAGCAGCATCAGCTGATTCCCCCACACAGCCTCGCAGCTGTACCCACTCTCCCAGGGATGTCCTAAAGCTGGGCTCGAGCAAGCCCTGGCCAGAGGTCCTGCAGAAGATAACCGGGGAAACCAAGGTGTCTACAAAGGCCCTCATGACCTACTTCAAGCCCCTG